CCCACACCTCCGGGTCTGGCCCTCAACACCCCAAAAGCCACAACTACTGAAGCCTGTGCACCTAGAGCCTATGCTCTGCAACGAAGGGTAGCCCCTGCTCGCCGCAACTAGACAAAGCCCATGTGCAGCAACAAAGACCCAACGCAGCCAAAAATAAAATAAATAAAATAAATAAATAAATAATAAAAAAAAGAAGCAAAACAAGGACTTCCCTGGAGGTGCAGGGATTAAGACTCTGCACTTCCAGTGCAGGGGACGCGGGTTTCATCCCTGGTTGGGGAACTAGGATCCCGTATGCTGCGAGGTGCAGCCAAAAAAAAAAAATAATAAATTAAATTAAAAAAAAAAAAGAAGCAAAACAGGTAGTGGTAGGCCAGTATCAAGGGTTTCACAGGTCATGAAGCCATCCTGCAATAGAAGGTGTTTGTCATTCACACAGAGCAGGAAACTCCCCTTGGATGACTGATCCTGGTACTCTGATTAGTGCCTCAGAAGTCCCTTTGGAAACAATTGAAATAAATCTTAAGAAAAGCTTTGCAAATACTGGCAAGGTACTGTCCCCCTCATTTTCTTTTTTCTCCTCTTTAATTAAGAGCTACGTAAATGGCTGTGTCTTCCTTCATCACCTGGCTGCCAAGAAGTTCAGGGCTAAATTTAAGGGTCGGCTTTAGCAACTAAGAGGGCCCAGAGCCTCTGCACCTCTTGTTCTTTTCTGGCCACGCCCCAAGCCAATGTCACTGTTTTTCACTTACTCTTTCAAATCTTATTTATCCATTATCATCATTGTATTAAGATAAAATACAGGACTGTATTTTAAACAGGATTGTAATAAATGCATACATCTAATTTGGTTAGGTTTTTAGAGAAAGAGAAAAGCTCAACATTCGCAAGCTTAGTGCTGCGGTCACAGGCATCAGAGGCCCAAGAGTCCCTGTGCAAACCTCAGCTCTGCCTCTTCTTATCCAGGTGGCTCCACCCGTAAAATGCCTCTTTGTAAGAGGTGAGTGTACCTACCTCACTGGGTTGTATGAGGATTCACTGAGCCAATATATGAATAGGGCTTTTGCACAATACCTGGCACCTGGTAAGTGCTCAGAAAGCTGGCAATAAAGCGTATAGTCAAGTTCTCTATCATTGCCAACGAGAGGAAAGAAGAGGTGTGTGTGGAGGCAGGGGAGGTAAGAGGAGAAACACAGAAAAGGGCTTGAGACTCATAGACGAAGTTGCAGTTAGCCTCAGAGAAAAGCTGATTTTTCTAGAGTAGGAGTTTGCCAACTTTTTCTATAAAGGGCCAGAGAGTAAATATTTGGAGCTTTTTGGCCATATGTCTCTGTCTCAACTACTGAACTATGCTATTGTGGTTCACAAGCAGCCCCAGGCAATATATAAATGGTTGGGCGTGGTCACGTGCCAGTGGCCTTTATTTACAAAAGCAGGCAGAGGGCCAGGTTTGCAGGTTGCAGGTCTTTGTTCTAGAATAATTATCTCACCCTGTAAGCTCCTTAATAAAGCAACAAAACACTGCAGACGGTTTCAGTTGTTCCTCTTCCAAAACAGCAGGTACAAACAGGGCTAATCCCTCATGATGAGTACCTCACAAATTGGATGAAGCAAATTTGTGGGTGGAAGGCCCCCACTCCTAATTATCAAGGGGGCAAAAGGATTAGGTGGGATTTTAGCAGGTGGAGATGTGACGGGGGGAAGGGAGAGGAAGGAAGCTGAGTCCTCTGGCAGGATCCACAGTCAAGTTCAAGTCATCTGAGGTTGCCAGGGATGGACATAGGAGGAAACGCCCCCCAAGACAGTCAACTTTGCTCTCCCCTGCACAGTTCATATTTGTTGACGTTGTGGTGCATTTCAATAACCAAAAGGTACAGAAAAGCCATCAGCAAAAATTGAAAGTGATTTCGGCAGAAGCAGAGACTAACAAGCAAGGGAAATCGAGGAAAACCTGAGATCAAGAGAATGGAAGAAGACCCAGCTATGCAGATACATCCAGTTTCAGCCTTGAAATCTTCATGCAGGAAAATGGGCTCCTGTAAGCTTAACTGGTACAGACTCAGGACAGGTGAAGGGCAATGAGTGCTATCAGTACACCTCTCTGGGAGTAGCAGCCTGGCCTCTTTCCACCACGCAGGGCACCCTGGCCAGCCCAGCCCTCTCATATCTGAAGGGCATGGAAATGGCCAGGCTCCCTCCCCACAATGACCGTCCCTGCAAACACTCCACAGTGCTGTTCACAAGAAGGAAATCTGGCCCACGCTCCCCTAGGGAGCACCGCACGCAACCCCTTGCTGGACCGGGATGCAGCCAGTTTTACATAACGCATTCTTTGCAATTAGAGCATCCTTGGTAAATGACCAACAGACATGGTTTTGTTTTACCTAAGTATTTTTACAAACATCAAAAATCATCGCAGGTCAAGTGTACCTATTTTTCACTTGGAAAATTCTTGCCACGTGATATACCTCACAATCTACTAGTCACTGCAAAGTGAAAAACACATGGAAGAGGGAAAGTGAGGGCAGGAAGTGGGAAAGAAAACACAGTGGCCCCAATTCACTGCATCCTCTTTCCACACCCATGGAAACTGACGGCCTAGGCAGTGCAGACACCAAAGTGGGTCAGTCCATGCTGCATCCCTGTGGCCAGAAGGCAACGTGGCACCGGAGAGGAGCCAGGCTGCAACATCTGCCAGCTGCGTGACCTTGGCCAAGTCACTTAACCTCTTTGAAGATGGTGCTTGGAATAACTGAATAGCATTTGTAGGGCATCCAGCAGAGAGTCTCACACAGCAAGCATTCAAAAATGGTAATGCCTCCCCAAAATGCAATTTAAATCAAAGCACCATCTGTGGCATTATCTCTTAAAGAAATAGACATATGAAGATAAACAGCAAGGACCTACTGTATAGCACAGGGAACTATATTCAATATATTATAATAACATAGTGGAAAAGAATCTGGAAAAGAATATATATACTTATATATATATATGACTGAATCACTTTGCTGTACACCTGAAACTAACACAACATAGCAAATCAACTATACTTCAATTTTAAAAATTAAAAAGAAAAAAAAAGAGAAAAAAATAGACATATGAGGTTCATGTCTGCTTCGTTCCCATATATAATGTGGATGGATGGAAACCTCCCCTGACCCAGCCAGGCTCCTCTCTGCGGTTACCTGCACTGTTATAATCGGCCCTCCATTCTGATAGAGCAGGGGCCTCATCTTGGGCAGAAGGATTCCCAACCACTTGTCCACAGCTGCAAGGTAATCTGGAAGACAACCAGGTTTAACACCATCACATGCCTTTTTCTACAAAGAGACACAACACAGCCTATTACCCTGGGGCTGGCAGCACAGATTGAACAGACTGGATTCAACAACCACTTTCTGAAATGGGGGGCGCTACATGCACTAAAAGTCTGCTAAAAGTTGTCCTGCCGGGCTTCCCTGATGGTGCAGTGGTTGAGAATCCACCTGCCGATGCAGGAGACGCGGGTTTGTGCCCCGGTTCGGGAAGATGCCACATGCTGCAGAGCGGCTGGGCCTGTGAGCCATGGCCGCTGAGCCCGCGCGTCCAGAGCCTGTGTTCCGCAACGGGAGAGGCCACAACAGTGAGAGGCCCGCAAAAAAAACAACAAAAAAAATTGTCCTGCCGAGAGTTGTCTCCTCAGTGGAGCTCTGAGAGGACAAGGAGCAGTATGCCTGCCCCTGCCATTAGGACAAAAAGCCTGCAGCACAGGAGGCATCCACCAATGTTTGTTGAATGACTGAGTGATGTGTCCTCTCTGTCACACTTGAGTTTTGTTTTTTTTTAATCTTTATTTAACACACGTGGCTACTGTTACATACACTATTATTATTATTATTTTTTAAAGAAGATGTTGGGGATAGGAGTTCATTTCTGTGCGTGGGCTTTCTCTAGTTGTGGCAAGCGGGGGCCACTCTTCATCGCGGTGTGCGGGCCTCTCACTATGGCGGCCTCTCTTGTTGCGGAGCACAGGCTCCAGACGCACTGGCTCAGTAGTTGTGGCGCACAGGCCTAGTTGCTCCGTGGCATGTGGGATCCTCCCAGACCAGGGCTCGAACCCGTGTCCCCTGCATTGGCAGGCAGATTCTCAACCACTGTGCCACCAGGGAAGCCCACAGTTGAGTTTTTTTAAAATTAAGTTCTAATCAATTATACATTTACATTGTCAAATGGGGATAACAGAGTACATAGGTCATATAGTTGCTGTAAGGATTAACTGAGATAAAATGTGGAAAAACACTAATATACTAAGTGCGTAAAATGTGAGGGTAGTACACTAAGAAGGAAATGCATATAGAACATAACATACTAGCCTTTTACACAGCAAATTTAATCAGTGTTAGCTGGTCTTATGACCAGCTTCATCACCAAGAGAAACTGAAGCCTTCAGAAGACAGAAATGCAGCTAAGAACTCTACTCAATTCTCTGTAATGACCTATATGGGAAAAGAATCTAAAAAAGAGTTGAGATATGTATATGTATAGCTGATTCACTTTGCTGTACAGCAGAAAGTAACACAACATTGTAAATCAACTATACTCCAATAAAAATTAAAAAAAAAAAAAAAGAATAGCAGCTAAATGGGACCTGCAGATTGATCAGGGTTTATAGCTAGACAAGAAAAAAACCTATCATTTTACAGATAACTCTGTAAAAGTAGACAAAGGAACTGAAGACACCACAGCTACTGAGAAATCCAGTGACACCACCGCAGAAACTACATCTGCCATTCTGATTAGCTGGGAGTCATCACCAGCCATGTCATATTCTAAGAACAGAGGCAGAGAAAGCCATGAAATCAGCCAGTCAACCGCAAATAGGGCCCAGTGCCAATTCAAAGAGTTACCAGGGTATCAGCGAGATCTGGTCAAGTTGTTCGAATAATCCTTCTTTCCTAAAACATTCAGTATCTGGAGGAGCATGATGAACACTCACACTTTCGCTAAACTTTCAGAAGCATTTGCCCAGGAGTACCCCAGCCTTTGAAATACTTGACTCTTTTTTTTTTTTTTTTTTGCGGTATGCAGGCCTCTCACTGTTGTGGCCTCTCCCGTTGCGGAGCACAGGCTCCGGACGCGCAGGCTCAGCGGCCATGGCTCACGGGCCCAGACGCTCCATGGCATGTGGGATCTTCCCGGACCGGGGCACGAACCCATGTTCCCTGCATCGGCAGGTGGACTCTCAACCACTGCGCCACCAGGGAAGCCCAAGCTGACTCTTTTGATATAAATTATCTAAGCTTTCTTAAATTCTCTTACGACATCTGTAACAACTTACCTGGATCACAAGAACGGAGAACAATAGATTCTTTCTCTAGTAGCCAAGCAGGTAATCCTCCCTAGGAGAGGAAAAAAAAAAAAAAAAAAGGAAGAAGAGGCCATGATAAGGTCTTAGGGGAGACAGAAATTACTATTAGCAGTGAGGGGAAAGAAGAAAAGTGTCATGGAGAAGGGGTATTTGAGCTGGGCTTTCTGGGTTGTAACTTTCAGGGCAATTAGAAATTGTAAACATAATAAAAATAAGGTCAATCTGCATGAATGCAATGTTTTGAGAATCAAAGCCTTTTCTACAGATTCCTCCACTTAACCTCACAACTACCCTGTGAGGCAGACAGAGGCCACACCATGAACTTCTTTTTACAGATGAGGAAACTGACTTCTGTACGTGACCACCAAGAGGAGGACCCATACCTTCTGACCCCTCCCTGCTCCTCTCTGCCTGGGCACCGCCCAAGGTAAAAGACAACTGGGTTTGCTCAGTCACAGGCCCGTGTTACCTGGAATTAGAGACTTACCAATGCTGCTTTAATTCACTTGCCCCCAGATCCCTGCCTGTCCGCACACCAGGCAAGTAGGGCAGGTCTAGCCGCACTCACCATGTCCCACTCCGCACAGATGTAAGGTCCAGGCCTCAGGATGACCAGCAGTCCCAGCTCATGTGCCAGCTGAATAAAATGCTCCACGTCATGGTCCCCAGTGAATTCGTACTGTCCTGGCTGGGGCTCATGGAAGTTCCAGGCCACGTACCTGCCAAGACACACACAGCCCCTTCCTGGAAATAGCTCAAAAATCCAGGTGTCCTACATGAATTTCTGAACAGTCTGCAGAACTATAAACCCGCAGGACACACAGACATCTTCCTAAGGCAGACTCGCAGAAAAGAAGCCTTCTTTTGAGTTTTCACAGCAGCTACCAAGAGAATCAAACTTGTGGGGAACACTTTTAAGTGTATGACCCTCAAAGAACGCCCATTCCTATTTAATGCTTGACTTAAAAAAAAAGACAGAGTTCATGAACACAAAGTACTGCTATGGAAAAATTACTTATGCCTATGTAAGGGCTTAGGAAAAATGAAAATATCTGTGCTAAAGTAATAAGAGGCATACTTATTTTATTTATTTATTTTTTTCGGTACGCGGGCCTCTCACTGCCGTGGCCTCTCCCATCGTGGAGCACAGGCTCCGGACACGCAGGCTCAGCGGCCACGGCCCACGGGCCCAGCCACCCTGCAGCACGTGGGATCCTCCCAGACCGGGGCACAAACCCGCGCCCCCCGCATCAGCAGCCGGACTCCCAACCACTGCACCACCAGGGAAGCCCCATACTTATTTTTTGAAAAATATTTTTCAATAAAAATGGGAAAACCTCCAAGCCCTGCATCCTCCTAACAAAAAATTTTGTCAGGAATAGCCCGAAGGAGGTAAAATAACAAAAATTCTGGGACTTCCCTGGTGGCGCAGTGGTTAAGAATCCGCCTGCCCACAAAAACAGAAAGATAGATCAATGGAATAGGATAGAAAGCCCAGAGATAAACCCACGCACATATGGACACCTTATCTTTGATAAAGGTGGCAGGAACGTACAGTGGAGAAAGGACAGTCTCTTCAATAAGTGGTGCTGGGAAAACTGGACAGGTACATGTAAAAGTATGAGATTAGATCACTCCCTAACACCATACACAAAAATAAGCCCAAAATGGATTAAAGACCTAAATGTAAGGCCAGAAACTATCAAACTCTTAGAGGAAAACATAGGCAGAACACTCTATGACATAAATCACAGCAAGATCCTTCTTGACCCATCTCCTAGAGTAATGGAGATAAAAACAAAAATAAACAAATGGGACCTAATGAAACTTCAAAGCTTTTGCACAGCAAAGGAAACCATAAACAAGACCAAAAGACAGCCCTCAGAATGGGAGAAAATATTTGCAAATGAATCAACTGACAAAGGATTAATCTCTAAAATTTACAGGCAGCTCATGCAGCTCAATAACAAAAAAATAAACAACCCAATCCAAAAATGGGCAGAAGACCTAAATAGACATTTCTCCAAAGAAGATATACAGACTGCCAACAAACACATGAAAGAATGCTCAACATCATTAATCATTAGAGAAATGCAAATCAAAACTACAATGAGATATCATCTCACACCAGTCAGAATGGCCATCATCAAAAAATCTAGAAACAATAAATGCTGGAGAGGGTGTGGAGAAAAGGGAACACTCTTGCACTGCTGGTGGGAATGTGAATTGGTTCAGCCACTATGGAGAACAGTATGGAGGTTCCTTAAAAAACTACAAATAGAACTACCATATGACCCAGCAATCCCACTACTAGGTATATACCCTGAGGAAACCAGAATTCAGAAAGAGTCATGTACCAAAATGTTCATTGCAGCTCTATTTACAATAGCCCGGAGATGGAAACAACCTAAGTGCCCGCCGTCGGATGAATGGATAAAGAAGATGTGGCACATATATACAATGGAATATTACTCAGCCATAAAAAGAAACGAAATTGAGCTATTTGTAATGAGGTGGATAGACCTAGAGTCTGTCATACAGAGTGAAGCAAGTCAGAAAGAGAAGGACAAATACCATATGCTGACACATATGTATGGAATTTAAGAAAAAAAAAATGTTATGAAGAACCTAGGGGTAAAACATGAATAAAGACACAGACCTACTGGAGAACGGACTTGAGGATATGGGGAGGGGGAAGGGTGAGCTGTGATAGGGCGAGAGAGACATGGACATATATATACTAACAAACGTAAGGTAGATAGCCAGTGGGAAGCAGCCGCATGGCACAGGGATACCGGCTTGGTTCTTTGTGGCTGCCTGGAGGGGTGGGATAGGGAGGGTGGGAGGGAGGGAGACAAAGAGGGAAGAGATATGGGAACATATGTATATGTATAACTGATTCACTCTGTTATAAAGCAGAAACTAACACCATTGTAAAGCAATTATACCCCAATAAAGATGTTAAAAAAAAAAAAGAATCCGCCTGCCAATGCAGGGGACACGGGTTCAAGCTCTGGTCCGGGAAGATCCCACATGCCTCAGAGCAACTAAGCCCGGGCGCCACAACTACTGAGCCTGCGCTCTAGAGCTTGCGTGCCACAATTACTGAGCCCGTGTGCCACAACTACTGAAGCCCGCATGCCTAAAGCCCATGCTCGGCGACAAGAGAAGCCACCGCAATGAGAAGGAGCCCACACATCACAATGAAGAGTAGCCCCTGCTCGCCACAACTAGAGAAAGCCTGCGTGCACCAATGAAGACCCAATGCAGCCAAAAATAAATAAATAAATTTATAAAAAATAAAATTCCGACCAGCTCCTCAGGCTGCCTGAAGCATGGGACACAAACTTTATTTATTTATTTTTAAAAGTTTATTTTTTTAAATTAAATTTTTGGCTGCGTTGGGTCTTCATTGCTGCGTGCGGGCTTTCTCTAGTTGCAGCGAGCGGGGGCTACTCTTCGTTGTGGTGCGCGGGCTTCTTCTTGCGGTGGCTTCTCTTGTTGCAGAGCATGGGCTCTAGGCGCGCAGGCTTCACTAGTTGTGGCTCGTGGGCTCTGGAGCGCAGGCTCAGTAGTTGTGGCGCATGGGCTTAGTTGCTCCGTGGCATGTGGGATCTTCCCGGACCAGGGCTCGAACCTATATCCCCTGCATTGGCAGGTGGATTCTTAACCACTGCGCCACCAGGGAAGCCCTGGGACACAACTTTAAATATGAAGCCACCCACTGCCATCACAAAGGTGTCTTTGATGACCCCTGGCTTGTGTTTTTTTTCCACAATCCCATGGTTTCAGGGTTCCCTGGAACAGTCTTGGTCCCCCAGAACTTAGTGTTGAAACTACAGGTATGTCCCAGTGGCCCTAGAACCAGAATAACAAGTGGGATTCTTCCTAACTATCTGTCCCAGGAATCTGCCGCTGGGTTTTCTCACCCTTTATCTTTGAAGAGTTATCAGCAATCCACATAAGCAATGCAAAAACCAAAGTGGCCAGCCACCCCAACTTCCTTCTCAATTAGTCACTTTACAACAGCAGAAGAGGTAAGGAGAGATAGTTTGGGGATAAAATTCTGTAACCTTGGGCCATGGAATCACCCCAGCAGAACCACAAAGACAAACTAGGTTTCAGGAATCTACCCAACAAGGCATATCCCTCTAGGAGCTGAGAGGAGCTATGGTTGCCTACCAACACCCTTATCTTCAAATCTCAGCGGAACCTCGGTCCAAAAACATGTGCCTGGGCAAATTTCAGTTTCGCCAGCTGCAAACAAGAAGGGTGACGTTGGAGAAATGGCATCATCCATGTAATGTGCCCTGCACACAGTAAATGCTCAACCATTGTTGCTTCCCTTTGCCCTTTCAAGCTGATATCCATTTTATGATTTCTGGTGACAAAGTTCAAGGTTGGAAGAAATTAATTGTCTAAAGAAGGGACACTCAAGCCCATGACTAGCCTTTCCCGGGACCCCAGACCATGCTATTCCCCGTTCTGAGCAATGAAACAGCTGCACTGAGAGATGCAGCTGGACCCTCCCTCCAGGGGTGGGTGTCCAGGCCCAGGTGAGAGCCCAGTGCCCTCCTACTTACGTCTGGATGGCATTCAGCCCAGCCATCTTCATCTTCAGCAGCCGGTCCTTCCAGTAGAAACGGGGCACGCGGAAATAGTGAATGCTTCCCGAGATGTAGCGGAAGGGCTGGCCATCCTTGAGGAAGCAGTTGTGGCCGTAATCGATCTCGAAAGTCCGCTGGGAGGCGTTCTACAGAGCAAGAACGGAACCACATGAGAACTTCCACCCTCTGCATCTCAAGAAGTAGACGCTTCAACAGTGGCAACTGACTCCCTAGCCTCTTAGTTTGTGTACGTTCTTGATTCTGGGCTATAAAGCAAACCACTGCTAAGTCAGGGCACGGAGGAGCCACGTGCAGGATTCCAGAGGCCGGCACCAATGTGACAGTCAGTGGGTGAGCTGCAGAAGTTACATGCCCAAAGAGAAAATCCTGCTGCAGGGGACTCTTTGCAAGGTGTGGCGAAGCTCAGTGTGCTGGGGCTGGAACACACACATACACACCCTGGCCCCCATGGCTGTGACCTCCTGGAGCTCTGGGTGTCCCTCAACAGGAATGTCGTTGTGATGAAAGCAACGGATCAGAAGTCTGAAGCCCAGAAGCCTTATCCTAGGTGCTGCGCTGAGTCCCACAATGACTGAGCAACCCTCTCTAAACCCTGCATCTCTTCATCCATAAATATGCAGGATACCAGACTCAACGAACTCTAAGGCAATATGTGCGACCCAATTTGTAGGTCGTGAACTCAATTTGGTGATGATTGGCACTCTTTTTAATGAAAGAGAATAGAAATATCAGTGTATTGCACATAGTAAAGACAAGTGTTTTTTTAAAATTTATTTTATTGAAGCATAGTCGATTTACAATGTTGTCTTAATTTCTGCTGTACAGAAAAGTGATTGTTATACACATATATACATTCTTTTTCATATTCTTTTCCATTATGGTTTACACAGGATATTGAATATAGTTCCCTGTGTTACACAGTAGGACCTTGTTGTTTATCCATTCCATATATAATAGTTTGCATCTGCTAATCCCAAATTCCCACTCCATCCCTCTCCCAACCCCCCTCCCCCTTGGCAACCACAGGTCTGTTCTCTAGGAAAACAAGTGTCATTTTATGAAATTTTGTTATATATACATATATAGAGTTGCATATGGTTGTATGTCTCTGTGGGGTTGAGATGTAAGATGTATTTCTATTAGCAACTAATCAAGATGCTTTTTTTTTTTTTTTTTTTTTCCTGTACGCGGGCCTCTCACTGTTGTGGCCTCTCCCGTTGCGGAGCACAGGCTCCGGACACGCAGGCTCAGCGGCCATGGCTCACAGGCCCAGCCGCTCCGCGGCATGTGGGATCTTCCCGGACCGGGGCACGAACCCGTGTCCCCTGCATCGGCAGGCGGACTCGCAACCACTGCGCCACCAGGGAAGCCCAAGATGTATTTCTAGAAGTCAAATCAAAGTTTGAGAAACACAGTTTGGGGACCACTTCAGGAGCTGAAATGCTAGGATTTGAAAGGGAAGACCTCTGGGACTTCCCTGGCAGTCCAGTGGTTAAGACTCTGTGCTTCCAGTGCAGCGGCTTGGGTTGGATCCCTGGTCAGGGAACTAAAATCCCACATGCCATGCAGCGTGGCCAAAAAAAATCTTTTAATTGAAAAAAAGAAAAAGAAAAAGAAAAGAAAGAGGAGACCTCAAAGGGGAGGCCGACTGTGAGGCAGAATAGAACACTGCCCTCTGGTGGATATAAAAAGGCAGCAATAGACCTCAGGTTCCAACAGGACAAGGGCTACAAGAGACCATTTAATTAGTGTCCTCCATTGTTGGAAAGATTCCTTGTGCATCTTTAGGCTTTTTTTTTTTTTTTAAATCTCTTTTTCATAGCAGCATCACAGTCCACGAGAGCTTTGGGGGTTGCCCTTGAAGCCATATCTGGAAACATCAATGAGAGCAAGGGTCCTAGATCACACTTGGCCAGAAATCCAAATATAAAGTATTGTGATTGTGGGAATTCCCTGGTGGTCCAGTGGTTAGGACTCCAAGCTTCCACTGCAGGGGGCCCGGGTTCAGTCCCTGGTCGGGGAACTAAAGATCTTGCATGCCGCCAGGAGACTGCTTAGGGGCAACTGGAAAGCTTTACTGTATGTGAGTTACTAAAGCTAACCAAAAATAAACAAATAGGGCTTCCCTGGTGGTGCAGTGGTTGAAAGTCCGCCTGCCGATGCAGGGGACACGGGTTCATGCCCCGGTCCAGGAAGATCCCACATGCCGTGGAGCGGCTGGGCCCGTGAGCCATGGCCGCTGAGCCTGTGCGTCTGGAGCCTGTGCGTCTGGAGCCTGTGCTCCGCAGTGCGAGAGGCCACAGCAGTGAAAGGCCCGCGTACCGCAAAAAACAAAAAACAAAAAAAAACACTAGGTTGTACACCTTCAACGTACACAGCGTTATCCATCAATTATATCTGAGTAAAGCTGGGGGGACAGGATTAGAGCAGAAGACTGCAGCAGTAATAAATGGCATGTAACCCAGGCCTGGGGGACAAGTTTCCCAGAGGAAGGAACACCCCAAACTGTGGTTCTCACCTTGGCCACACATCAGAATCACCTGCACAGGCTTTTAAAAATAGCAAAGTCAAGCCTCATTGCCCAGACATTCAGATGTTAATTGATCTTGGGTGGAGCCCAGGAATTGGTAGTTCTTAAAACTGCCCAGAGGATGTAATGTACAGCCAGGGTTAAGAATAATGGGTCTAAGCTGAGCCCCAGGATGAGGAAGAGTTAGCCAAGGGGATGGGCGACACAGGCAGAGGAAACTGTGAGCCCTGGTGGAGGGGGCTCCACCCTCCTGAAATTTTTCCTAGTAAAATGTTGACACAAATTAAAAAGTCAGGGGCAGGGAGAATTGGAGAAAGGTGGTCAAAAGGCACAAACTTCCAGGGACTTCCCTGACAATCTAGTGGTTAAGACTCTGCGCTCCCACTGCAGGGGGTGCAGGTTCAATCCCTGGTGGGGGCACTAAGATCCCACATGCTGCGTGGCACAGCCAAAAAAAAAAAAAAGAGGCACAGACTTCCGGTTATCAAATAAATAAATACCAGGGATGTAATGTACAACATGATGACTATAGCTAACACTGCTGTAGGATATACAGGAAAGCTGTTAAGAGAGTAGATCCTAAGAGTTCTCATCATAAGGAGAAAAAAATTTTTTCCTTTCTTCTTTCTTTCCTTTTTATTTTATCTGTATGAGAATATGGGTGTTAGCTGAACCTATTGTGGTAATCATTTCACAACATGTAAATAAATCACGCTGTTCACCTTAAACTTATCCAGTGATGTATGCCAATTATTTCTCAATAAAACTGGAAAAATATTAAACTTAAAAAGTGGACTGATGAAATAAATTACGGTTTCTATGGTATGTGTATTGCATATGAATGTACATACACACACATGATAAAATATTATGTACATCCTGAGAGTAATGACTTATTCTTGCCACTGTGGTAAGATCTCTGAGACAGAATAAAGAGAAGGTCAAGAGGTGTTTTTTAAAACACACCTGGGGACTTCCTGGCGGTCCAGTGGCTAAGACTCCGCACTTCCACTGCAGGGGGGGCGGGTTCTATCCCTGGTCGGGGAACTAAGATCCCGCATGCCGCGAGGTGCAGCCAAAAAATTAGAAAAACAAAAAAACGAAACCTCAAAAAAACACACCTGGGCTTCCCTGGTGGCGCAGTGGTTGAGAGTCCACCTGCCGATGCAGGGGACACGGGTTCGTGCCCCGGTCCGGGAAGATCCCACATGCCGCGGAGCGGCTGGGCCCGTGAGCCATGGCCGCTGAGCCTGCGCGTCCGGAGCCTGTGCTCCGCAATGGGAGACGCCACAACAGTGAGAGGCCCGCGTACTGCATGAAAAAATAAAAAATAAAATAAAAAACCACACCTATGTCAGCTCCTGTGGGTAGTCCCGCGCGAGTTCAGTGTATAGTGTGCTGACAGTGTCTCATCTCAAGCTCACCCGTCAAGTCTTTGTGTCTTCCCACCCACACGCCACGGGCACCTGCTCACCCAGGAACCCAGGTGTCGGGGGGAGTCCACGCACCTCGGAGCAGCCCTCAACCATTGGGAGTGGATAACTGCACCCTCCTCTTTTTTTTTTTGTCTCCTGCATCGGCAGGCGGACTCTCAACCACTGCGCCACCAGGGAAGTCCCACCCTCCTCTTTTAGGCATGCAATTCGGGAGACGTTCCGTCTGCTCTCCAGGAGACCTTGGCAGAATCACGGTCCTGTTGCCCAGAGTGAGAATCTGTCCCTCTTGGACCGCTTCCCAGATCACCTGCACTCCAGCCCTGGTTTCGTGTTTTACTTCTAGAGGAACCCAAATTAAGACACTTGGTACCAGAACTGTCCTAAACAGCAGATCCTCAGGATGTGAGTCAATACCTGGATTTCTCATTTCCTGTGCATCAAACAGCAGGAAGAACCCTACAGCTGGTGCTAAGTGGGTGGCGACGGTCCATGGTATGCAAACACACACGATAAGGCCCTCACCTGTGCAGGACTGGGAGGGGGCACGGGCAGATGGGGGGAGTGGGCATCTGCATTAGCTCTACCGGTGGAATGGGGCTGAGGGGTGGGTGCTGTAATTATAAGGATTGTGAAGTTGGCTGGTTTTTACTAACAGATTGGAAGCTTTGAAGAAAGAGACCGGTTGACAGGCTCAAATCAGCCATCCACTCAGGGCATTCTGTGAATGCCAGAGGCTTCCATGGCAATGTTTAAAGAGACCTACATCTCCTGCTAGAAAGATAAGGCCAGGACTTAATCGGGGAGAGGGAGGGGGGACACTGGGAGGGGATCTTGAGGGGGCAGAACACAAGGCAGAAAGAGGGGAGTGTATGGACATGGTGCGTTCTCCCATGTGTGAGCTGTCATCTTGGTAAAAGTGGCCAACCCAGTCCCTGTGCTGTTGGAACCCAGTTCCTTGGAACTTGGACAAGATATTGACTTACAGGAAATGAGGTGGAGGTGCCCGGACTGCCATGGAATCCTGAGGAAGGTATGAGATGGCTCCAAGAAGTGAGAAAGTAAAAACGGTGACCAGACACCCCAACATGTGACTATACTCCCCAGAACTGGCCAGAGAACACACCCTTCAGTAAGGAAGACAGCAGTGAGGAGGGTCCTG